TTATTTAGCTGTAATGCCATGCAAATTTGATGAATAAGAGTAGGTCCATTAGAAACGATTACAGAACAACTGTGCGAAATAGTTTTCCTTGCCTTAGTTTTGTGTTATTTTTTGCTTGTTTCCAAGAGTAATTTGCTGTAAAATTTGAAATATTTTTCTCTGGGAATTAGGCGTGCACGCGTGGTATTGATCCCTGCAGGATGTTACCAAGGCAAATTTTTTTTGTCTAATTCTGTTATAATTCTGATACTCTGATATTCTGATAGAGTATCTTATCGTCAACCCCCTAAATGAACTTTCAATTCTGCTGTGGCTGGTAGATTCTTTTTAAATAGGTGATTTTCCGTACAACTGCGAGATCTCGCGAGATGTACGAAAGACGCGCGTCGAACGTCTGCCGCAAAAATCGAACGATTTGATTTTGAACTCGAATTTCTTTATTTCGTAGCGCACATCGACCGGCCGATCTTCGACAGAGGAATATTGCTTCCGAATACCCTTACTTAATCGAAATTGCCTATCATCAAATGTGGACAGCACATTATTAAGCATGGAAATGTCCCCGAAATACTTTCGCGTTTGTCGAATCCCACGCGATGTTTGACGCCACTACGACCTTTGTCCTGTTTTTACGTTCGATTTCACTCATAACGCGTGATTCTCGCAGTGAACGGAAAATGGTCTATATAATATATTGTAAAATATATATAGTGAAAAGTTTAACCAATAATGTTTGACACACTTTGACTATCAATGGTATAACTTTGTTTTTGTTGCAGTATAGAAATGCATCCACGCAACATTCCTAGTTAGGATTTTTCCACCAAGAATCAACATCTCCAGAACACCCGTTGTGATGTCTGGCGCAACTAAAAATGTACGCATAGGGAAAAGAAAGGCCCTGTAGCTGCAGCAATGTGTGCGCGAATAACAGTTTAATTCGAAATCCAGTTTGTTAGTTGCACAAATACAAACATCGCGCCGTGATTATCGACAAAACATTCATAATATTAGTACTAACATTCCATCAACAAGGGACAGTGCGTTACTTTACACTTGTCAATGATGACTACGCCGAGTGGTCGTTTCGCTCTGCCTTGGTGTTACCAGTCAGATTGACCTGCTCACCAACCTACCGGTTACTAGCGGGTGCGGGGGCATGCTCCCCCATACAAATTTTGAAATGTAGAATATAGAAGGAAATATAGAAGAGTTCCAGCTTGATTTTGGAGGGTCGATGCCCTGCCCCAAACATTTTTTTCAAGGGCATTTTTTTCTGGTCCAAGCTTTGTGACACCTTACTTGGAATGTCAGTTTTCAAAAAAAAACAAGCCATGCATGGCACAGTTCCAGTTAGTTATCAAATTTGAGATATATAGTTATGTTTATAGTAATATAGCTGGAATATAACCATGTCAGGAATATGATTTTTTTAACATTAAAATGATTGACATTTGTATCTGACCGTCAAACAAGTACTTGTCCATATTGAGATATTGCTCTGGAACAGCATTCAAAATCAGCCATTTTGAATACATGTATATATATATATATATATATAACATGATGTATAACGAATATATAAAATTTGAATATAATCAGTCAAAGTGTTTAAAGAGATATGGCTCTCGAAGCCCAATCATTAAAACAAAATGGCCGCCAGACAGCCATTTTGAATCTGATCTGAAAAATAAATGTGCATCAGAAACCTGTAATGTACAAAATCCATCTATAAATGCCAGAAATGCTTGATATTTGATGATTTTTTTAGCACAAAAATGGCCACCATTCGGCCATTTTGAATAGGATCGTCAAACCAATATATCTGTCTATCTATGACATGATGTACCGGTATAATGAATATTTAAAATTTGAACATAATCAGTGAAAGCAAGTCAGACATGTGGCACGAGAACCACATTCGTTAAAACAAAATGGCCACCATTCGGCCATTTTGAATCTAATCTGAAAAACAAAATTATTTGCATCAAGGTCCCATAATGTCTAATGTATACACCAAGTTTGAAAAAAATCCATTTGTAAACAGCCGAGAAATGCTTGATTTTTATGATCTTTTAGCACAAAAATGGCCGTCATTCGGCCATCTTGAATGAGATCGTGAAACAAATTGACGTGCATATAATATCATGTATGATGTATGTGTGAAGTTTGATTGTGATTGGTCCAGGCATTTCTAAGATAAAGGTCCGGACGCACGCACGCACGCACGCACGCACGCACGCATGCACGCAGAGGTCAAAACACAAGTCCCCGTTTTCGGACTGCGTCCAAACGGGGACTAAAAAAAATCGCCTCGCCGCCATTTTTTTCCTGGCCTTATCATAGTTTGTATATACCAAACAAACAAACCTGATCAAATATCAAGTATTTTTTAACCTTAGGCCAGACTTTTTTTTTTCTTTTTTTACATTAGATTTGTGCGATTCTCAAAGAATTATAAGTGAGATCATTGATCGGAGAGAAGAAATAAAATAAAATTCCATGTATAACCTTGTTTCTCATCTGCGCGAGACTTTGGTACTTTGATCATGATAAGCCCACAAAAATGCAACTTGGGTTTGTTATGTGGCGGGCGAAAAAAAGATGAAGATAAAATTAATTTTTTTTAGCAATTTTTTGCACTTATAAGTCGGCGGGCGCGAGAAATTATGCTGAAATAAAATTTTATTTTTATTTCATTTTCGGCTCTTGTTCATTCGGCGGGTTCACGAAACAAGGGATAATAAAAGTCTGGCCTTATCAATCTGCATGTAAAAAGGTCCCCTGGAATTATGACCAAAAGCTGGAGGTATTTAAGTAGATCATAAAGTTTTTGTTGATTCATCAAAAAAGCAATGTACGTTATAAGGAAAATTGTAAGGGAGATTGACAGAAAGATTATTGTTTTTCTGATTAATTTTATTTGAACGCCCTCTGTTGAAAAGGACCTAAGGTTACCTGCATCAGAACTGAACTGAAGTCACTCTGTGGACTACGTACGGTAATACCGGTAAGCAAATACAAATTTTATTAGAAACACAGATTTTATTTACTTCACATGTACTTGGACTAAGAATGACAGACTACACTACGCAATTTTCTCAGACTTGCAACAATTCGTTTCTCACAAAAGTTGATCAAAATGTTTTTGGATCAATAGGTTTTGCCAACAATGGAGTCAACTTTCACTTCTGCGGAAGATGCAATTATAGCAGAAATTGCTCCAACATGTCAGAGAATGTGGAATTCTTCATTAGATAGTCAAAGAGGGTCTTTTAGGTGAATTTTCGCTAGTCGGAAGATCACAGAAAATCAACTATTTCTCTTCTTTTTCATCATTTTTGGAATCCTCATCAGTTTCCACATCCATTGTTTCTTCGTCTTTCTTACTCTCAGTAGTTATTTTTTCTTTAATTTCAGATTTATCATCCCCGTTATTTTCCTCCTCAGCTTTATCTGACTCCTCAACCTCCATTTTCTCTTCATCCTCGTTCTTCTTCTCTTCATTCTTCTCCTCCTTCACGATTTCCTTTACTTTATCTTCCTTCCCTTTTTCTCCATCATTCATTTTATCTTTCTGTTCTGCAGTCTCCTCTTTTTGCTCCTTGCCCTCTCCATCTTTAGTCTCATCTTTTTCCTCTTTACTGACAGCATCGTCTTTCTTCGCTTCATCGTCCTTTTCTATTTTTACTTCATCTTTTTTCTTCTCTGTCGTGGAAACCATCTCTGTGGTTTCTTGAGCTTTCAACATTGGTTCATCAGAGTCTGCTTGTTGTTCAGGTATCACTTGTTTTACTGGCTCCACTACATTGTGTGGTACCGGTGGTGGCAGTGGTTTTAATAACTCCTCCCAGTTAATTTCTATCTTCTGCTCGCAAAGCTGAAAATAAAAGTTTACGCACACGAGTTTAAAAACAACAAAAAGCTCAGTAAAAAGAGTTAATAATTAAGACCAGAAATTAATCTGGAAGCGATATCATACTTGGCCAGTCTAAACATTAAAGCGGGAGGGTCATCAACTGCGCACATGCGATAATTGAGTTCCAAGCGACGATAACACACACTAAAAACACAAAGACTCATGGTAGACGCTTGTTTGTAAACAATGACACGCTATGGCCATCTGACACATGCGCAGATGACGACCCCCCCCCCATCTTTAAAAGGTTTTATAGGTTTGAAGAGTATGCAAAATTGTCTGAGTTGTTCTTTAGTCGAAATAAAAGTTGTCAGTGAATGAGTGGGCAAGTTTGCTAACTTGCTACCCCAAATACTTCTGGAACTTGCTGTAAATACTTTCAATAACTCCAATCCTCATATGAATCCGAATATAAATCCTCATATGAAATCCAAATATGAATCCGTATATGAATAGGAATCTGAGGCCAACTACAGTTCTGTACACAAATTCACATTACAACCTACCTTTTTCATTGAATGCTGAAACTGTTCACTACTTTCTTCAAATTTCCTTTTCTTTGCCTCAAACTTCTCTTCAATTTGTTGGAGTTCACTTTCTAGCTTTTTCTACAGTGTAAATTGAAATTGAATATAGGTCATTAATATGCATGGAACATTTGATAAACAAAAGCTAAAGAATGATATTAAGTGAACCACTAATTTTTTTGCAACTCAACAGGTGATGCACGAAATGCTGGAAATGTGTATGCAAATTAGCTCATCAATATGCATAGATGTTATTAATTAGGCAAGAAGACTCACAATGAAAAAAAAACCAAACATAATTTACAACTAAGTGGAGCATAAAAGACAGTTAATTTCAAAATTAGCTTATTAATATGCATAGATAGATGATTTTAATCAGCAAAAGTTTTTAATATGCAAATTAGTACATCAACTGCAAGTTAGTTTTGCAATATGCAAATTATACCTGCAAATATGCCAATTTAATACAGTAACATGCCAAACAGAACAGCAATGCGCAATGTTCTCCCCAGAAAAATGAAATAGAGTATCGGTTAATTTACATAATAATAGACTGTTAATTACTTCTATTGTGTTCATTGTAATACTAAATTGGTTCTATTGTTTATCCATAATTGAGAACCCCTACTCTTTAATGCCCTGGGGAGAACCCTGAATGCGTTCATCAGTTCAGCAACATACACATTAGTATGTAAATTAGCTCATTAATATGCACGCTTAGTTTACCTGATGAAGCATGAGTGACTGTACTTGACGTTTTAAGACCTGCATACGTGCGTTGGTAACCACTGATCGTGGATCAGGGACGACTGCATCACTCAAAATCTCGTTAATTAACCGATGATTTCGAAGATAGCGAGATGCTGATATATGCTTCACTGTAAAACCATCTTCTCCATCTGAAAGATCAAAGATAAATAAATAAGCTGGAAAGTAAGATTTCAAGCAAGAAACGTTTTTTTATTAGGTTATTAAAAGTGGGGTGTTAAAAATTTATCTGTGATTCATACATTCATAATCAGATTCTCCTTGGGAAATAACCTATTGGCTAATTTATATAACAATTGAATATGTTAATTGTCTAGGTAAATAATTAAAAAGATGGAGGACCTCCACTCTATAATGCCCTGGGATAACCCTGAACTTATACATCATCTGAAAGCTTAGATATAGTACATACAGTATGCCATACCAATATACCTCCACTGGATGACCTGATAGTGAATTTTGTAGGTCAAAGGATTCTAAATTGGTTTTACTGTTCGCAACATTTCTAACTTCACATTCATGTTTTATCAACAAAATAACCTACTGTAAAATCTGTATAAGAAGCTGCGGCTTCTATTAAAATGGTACAATGCAACAGAGGGAATGCGGCTTCTATTAGAGCATCTACACATATGGGAAATGGTGAATTTTTGTTCTCAAAAGAATGGGTGCCATTTATATTAGAGATACGGCTTCTAATACAGGTTTTACAGTAATTAGGAAATCAGAGACCACAAGATTTTTGTTTGTGCCTCAATTCACCCATACAGTCATATACAACTTTATTTTTTTATTTTTTCTTGAATTTTTTTGAATCCTTACAAAATTACTCATGTTCAAAGCACTCTGTTCGACAACCATTCTGAACATGTACTTTTCTTTAAAAAATATGCTGCACTTAAAATTGATTAAATTTATCAACCATTTTATTTGCAATTTGGTATTTTAACTAGCCATTTTTAACATTTTTGAGTTGTTTTAAATGTAACTTTACCTGCATCTTCGTGGTCCTCGGCTGGCTGGATACTCATTCTGGGTTCCGGTTTGTTTTCATGTAACTGACCATCTTCTGCTGCTTGTTGAGCTAGAGAGAGAAAAGACACAGATTAGTAGGTTAACAATATTTCATGTGCACTTAAACCAGCACCATACGTGAGTGGGCTTGAACTTCAGAGTTGAAGGCATAAATTTTCAAGGCAAACTTATTTGGCATCACAGCAATGTTGTCTCAGTGAAGTTCAAGCCTTACTATACTATGAAGAATGACTGATCACTCTCCAAATCGATACAATTTTGAAAAATGTTTAATACACAGCTTCCCAGACCACTTGGCGTTACTGTGTTCTGAAAACTAATTGTTAGCATCCGGCCTATATTTAAAATTACAAGGCCTGATGAACCACAAAGTTCACACGAAAAGAGTTCTTTTTGTACCCCCCATCCCTAATCCTACCTTTCAGCACTCCCCATTTAATTGCACATGCACCTCCAAAGGACATCTATAGTTATCTAGAGGGGCATATACAAATGAATTGGGTAACTGGGAGTGAGAGTGAGAGTTAGGGTTAGGGATGGGGGGTACAAAAGGAGCTCTTTCCATTCACACATCCTAGCATTTTAGAAGAAGGACAGAAGTTGCACAACACCCCACCGCCACCCCTTTGTCAAATTGCAAGCAGCTCTCATTGAGTTTTTATACATAGTACAAACATAGAACCTTTAAAAAAGATTAAAAGTGAAATTACAAGGCCGACTGTAGTTGGCATCGCTGTTTAAGCAAGTTGACTGACTGAAAGCAAAAGATGTTTTATTCCTACGAACAACTGTTGGTTGACTTAACATCAGCCGAACGTTGCAACTAAAAAATGGAACAACTACTACCGTATTATCAACGTAAACTACAGATGAGCATGTAATAGGGGATTTTCCGTACAATTGCGAGATCTCGCGAGATGCATGAAAGACGCGCGTCGAACGTCTGCCGCAAAATCTAACGATTTGATTTTGAACTCGAATTTCCTTATTTCGTAGCTCACACCGACCGGCCGATCTTCGACAGAGGAATATTGCTTCCGAATACCCTTACTTAATCGAAATTGCCTATCATCAAATGTGGACAGCACATTTTTAAGCATGGAAATGTCCCCGAAATACTTTCGCGTTTGTCGAATCCCATGCGATGTTTGACGCCACTACGACGCTATGACCTTTGTTTGTCCTGTTTTTACGTTCGATTTCACGCATAACGCGTGATTCTCGCAGTGTACGGAAAATGGTCTATGTCACCCTAAGTCTTTAGCAGAATCCTTACCCTGCGCAACTCATTAATCGCTACTTACCTCGTCCTTTTGCTACAATCCATGCCTGGTACGCTGCTGAATTATGATATGCTTTCATCGCTTCGTTATAGTCAATCTGAAAAAAAAAACAGTATCGCCAGTTATGAGTCATGTGATCAGAGAACGTTATACAAAGTTACAAAGCTGTGCACTGTTACAGTCACATACTGAGTGCATTTATTAGGATCCTAGGGTAAAATTCTGTAAAATACTTTATTTTAGCTGGAATAAATTTTTGCTGAAAAGACTTTTTAGGTGTTTTGTATTGAATTTATTTTCACTGATGTTTGATGAGTTGAATGTAAAATATAGGAAAAGAGGTAAATTTGCTGGATTTTATTTTCACTGAAGCATTCTTTCAGCGAAAATTAATTCCAAGCGAAAAATAAAGTATTTTACTGTATTCGACAGTCCGAATTTATGCACATTGCAGAGAAAACAAATCAAGGATTCACCGGGTTCTGACCATGTGATTTCAATTTTTAAACAGAAACAAAAATGCTAGCAAAGAAAATTCGAACACATGATTAAACAGGAAACTAAAACGATCGCCAGCATTGATCGTGTTGAACGGCATTACAAATGTAAACCCACAATTCCACAATATACTGTAAAATACTTTATTTTAGCTGGAATTAATTTTTGCCGAAAAGCCATTTTTTGTGCTTTGTATGAAATTTATTTTCACTGATTTTTGACAAGTTACCGGTAAATGTAAAATATAGGAAAAAAGTGTATTCGCTGGATTTTATTTTCACTGAATCATTCCTTCAGCGAATATGGCGAAAATTAATTCCAAGCGAAAATACTGTATTCTACAGTAATACTGTAAACTTCATTACTTTCGCTAAAGGAATGAATCAGAAAAAATAAAACTCAGTGAAAATACTTTATTTCCTATAATTTACATTCTACTCATCAAAAAACGGTAAATAAACTCTATAGAAAACTTTCAAAATTTCTCTTAAGTGAAATTAATTATTAGTATTTTAGAATAGGTATAATGACAGTTGGCTTGTAAGAGCTGTTCCAAAATTCTTTGAAAAACTTAAAGTTCAGCTACAAGTACAAGGTCCTCATCTATTATTTCTGACATTGTAGGACAATTACAAATCATAGAGATACAGTACAATTCAATACAAATCATCATAGCCAGCCTAACGAAAAAAACTAAAACTAAAAAACAAAAACAAAAATAAACATTTCAAACATGAACAGATTGATTGATCAGCTTAGTCTCAAATATCACCATTTCTACAGTTGATGGTTTCCATGGATATGAGTGAAGGCAACAGATCGGACAAAAATTGGCGACATAAAACCAACCTTTTCTGCTTCGTACTCATCAATGAACACTTGTTTTTCATCTTCGGTCAGCTCTCTCCACATCTGTCCAATTATTTTACCAATCTCCCACAGTTTGAGTTCGGGATTCTCTTGTTTTACTTTATCCCATACTTTTCTACTGTATCGCATATACGGCATCAATGGCTTATCTGGGGGCTTCGGTGGTTTGGGTACTCCTTTCTCATGCTGTGGGTATCCAACAAAAATAAATACTGTTAGGGGCTTATCTGGGGTCTTTGGTGGTTTAGGTACTCCTTTCTCATGCTGTGGGTATGCAACAAAAATAAAGACTGTTATGGGCTTATCTGGGGGCTTTGGTGGTTTGGGTACTCCTTTCTGATACTGTGGGTATGCAACAAAAATAAAGACTATGTTATGGGCTTATCTGGGGGCTTTGGTGGTTTGGGTACTCCTTTCTCATGCTGTGGGTATGCAACAAAAATAAAGACTGTTAGGGGCTTATCTGGGG